CTTCTCCGTGCGTCGCGCTGCGCTGCGCTGCGCCGCGCCGCGCGCCTCGGGCTGCGTTTCCGGGTAGGACGGTGAACCTGTGCGCAGAGCTCGGGCAGGACGCGCAATCCAGCGTCGGTTCTCTCTCCGAGAGGGAAGTGCGGGTCGGTGGCGGGAGCTGGGAGGGCGCGCGGCGGTGGGAACGTCTTTGGAAATTGCATCCAGAGGGTCCCCCTCCCCACCCCCACCCGCCCCTCCAGGAAGGGAAGTTCTGGGTGAGTTGACGGGGCTGTGCTTCTCTCCCACAGTCGAGCCGCAATGAAGAGCTTCTCGCAGTGAAAGAAAAGTAGGTCGCACCCACTGAAAATGCCTTTAAGGGACAAGTACTGTCAGACGGACCACCATCATCACGGATGCTGTGAACCAGGTATGCCCTCGTTCCTTGCTGGAAACCTCGGTCTCTCGCGCCATTCTGCCTCCTGTTTCCTTCGACTTTTCTTTTGCCTCCTGCTTAAGATTTGTAAAGCAAGGTATAATTTTCCCCAGCACAAGCCACTTAGGAGGTTAAAAACCTGTTCAAACAAGAGGTCTCTCCCCCCCACCCCCACTCTATCCTTTAAAGAAAATACTGCAAGTGTCACTGTCAATCATTTCCACAAGATCAATCACTCAGTCCTTCTCCCTTCTCTTTTCAGGGCAGCCTGCTGTTAGTGGTATACCCTGATGCTCTCTGAATGTTTAAAACTGAAGAGAAGGGCAAAGATAGACTATAGAATATTTGTTTTTGTCTTCATGAGACTTGTTTCACTTTTAATTGTAAGAAATTAAAACAATTGTCATGCATTTAAAAAATTCATACAATAGTATTAAAAGCCTAAAAGAAAGAGGTTAGTTTGAGTTAAGAAGGTTGGTTGAACTTGATGAGAGAATGAGATTTAATTAAAAACACCTTTGAAATGTATTGAATAGAGAACCAACTACATTGCAAAGTATAAATAATAAGTCTTACTATTTAGATAACAACATCTAAGTATTCCTAAGGTATTTTATTTAGGTAATCCTGGTGTTAGTTGAATTTATGAAATGAAAAAATTGTTTTGGGGAGTCTTATAAAGAATAGTAAACTTTAAATTGGTAAATGTGATAGATAAACTATTGACAGTTCCTAGAACTTTGATAAGCTTTGTGACATTTAGAGGTTAACTTCAAAAGGGAATGATTGGATCCATACACACTAAACCAAATAGAAGCTACTATTTTATTCTAGTTCAAAGGCAGATGCTTGTCATTATTTTTGACTTAAGAGTTATCAGGATTTTTTTGTACTTTCTCCTTGGGTTTTATCATGAGTTCATTTTAAATCATTTTCTTACTAATAGGAAAAAATGGTGGTGGAAGAAATTCCATTTTCAGAAAAATGCTACACATGACAATAACATTTTCTGCAGCCTAATGTCTACTGTACTTTGCTGGGAACAGTAATAACTAACTTGTTTTACTAAAACAGGCAGTCCAAGGATAAGACCTAGTTTTTTGTTCATCTGTCCTTGGCTCACGTAACTTACAATATGCTTTCAAACTGCATATTTTGTGTATTTGAGATGAGGGTGTATTGCTTATATTTTATGGAGTTGAATGGAGTTTTTTTTTTAAATTTCTGTCTTTAACAAATTATTTGAGCCACCTATTAGGTGTCAGGGGCTGCCCAAGGCAATGGGAATAAAAAAGTTGAAAAAGACAGATAAAGCCTTTTCTCTTATGAAACTTGCTAGTGGAAAGAGATAAACATGTAATAAGATGATTTGTGAACATACTTTAGTGTATGCTGGTAATTAAAGTTTTTCTTAGAGACTTTTGTTCCTTTTTAAAGATGTTTTGGAATTTTTGTTTGTTTTTGGTGCTGGTCCTGAGGTTTGAACTTGGCCTGGTCACTGTCCTTGAGTTTTTTTGTTTTTGTTTTTTGCTTAAAGCTAGTGCTCTACCACTTGAACCATAGCTTCACTTCTGCCTTTTTTCTTTTCCTCTGTGGTTAATTGGAGATAAGAGTCTCACCTTTTCTGTCTGAGTTGGCTTCAAACCATGATCCTCAGATCACAGCCTCCTGAGTAGCTAGGATTACAGACATGAGCCACTAGCACCCAGCATGGTACTTAATTTTAAAATATATATTGGAACTTCTTTTTTCTTTCTCATTAACAAATAAATTGCATTAAAGGTTTCATCTTTTTTTTTATCAGACAACAAATTAAAAGCAGTTACTGTGTTTTTTTTTCTTTTTTTGCTTAGGCAGAATTGAGCATTTTTTGAGGGCTAACTTCAAAGTTTTGTTTTAACTTATGGGAGTTCATTGTCATTTTTTTTTCCCAGGGGAAGTTTTGGGCTGAGTGGGAGGGTGTGTCTAGGTTCAAAAAAAAAAAATAATGATGTGACAGTATTTAAGAGGCTGTCTTCTGGAGAGAAGTAGGTGACATGATATTTGAAAAATTCTTCAGTGAGCTTTCTTGAGCAGTCTGTTCTCTTTTGATTATGAACAGTGGGTAAATTTTCAAGAGAGCAGTATTCCTGAGGAAGCCATGTGCCTTAATGGGATGAGTCAGTTTGAAGTTGACATATGCAAAGTAATATATCTTTTTTTTTTTTTTTTTTGGTAGCAGAACTAGGGTTTGATCTCAGGGCTTGGATCCTTTAGCTTTTTTGCTCAAGGCTATCTCTCCAGCACTTGAGCCACACATCCACTTCTGTCTTTTTTCTGTTTAATTGGAGATAAAAGTCTTACAGTCTTTCCCTTCAGTGCTGGCTTTGAACCTTGATTCTCAGATCTCAGTCTCCTGAGTAGCTAGGCTTACAGCCACTCAGGCTCAGCAATTTTAGTTACATCTTTTTTTTTAAATTTTATTTTATTTGTGAACATACTGTACAGAGGGGTTACAATTGCACGGGCAGGATAATGCGTACATTTCTTACCAAGCATTGCATCCTCCTTAGTTACATCTTAAGAAGTATTTTAAATAGAAAATTTCAAGCATTCAAAATAGAATGCTCTAAAGAATCTGATATAGCTCAGACAAAACTCCCATCTGTTATCAACAATCGACAATTGCTTTTTTACATTTATTTTCCCTTTTCCCCACAGTTCCCTTCTTCATCCTCCAACTACTCTCTTGCTCCTATTTTTCCTAAGTGAATCTTAGACATCATAATTAGAAAAATCTTTTAAGGAACTTGTTTTTAGGCAATAGAGATTTGCAAAAGTGGATTTTATACTGGGAGATGTCTTTTGGGAATGATGTAAAGAAAGATGTTACCAGGTCTGGATTTTTGGTTAAAGGGAGATGAGCTTTTGGGGAAAGGATGATCGTGGTATTTGAACTCAGGGCCTTGTACTTGCTCTACCACTTGAGCCATATCTCCAGCAAGATAGTGCTTTTTAAGATGGTTATAACCTGGATGAGTCTGATTGTGGACAGCTTGATATGATGTGGAAGATGAAACTTTTATAAAGTATTAATGTATAAAGGTTTCTAGAGTTGAAAATATATTTTCAAGTGAAGAAAGAATTATTTCTTAAGAATGAGAGCTGCACAGGTGTGTATAACAAGTGTGGATGTGCTGAGTTAACCTTGGGCTTATTTTGAACGTTGCCTTAGATGTATATATGTCTGGTAGTAGTGTTCTGAGAGGGATAAGAAACTGCTGTACCTTTGTAAATCAGGTATTGCCATGTGGAAGTTGTTAAAGAAAGTTATCTGGAGCATATACCTACAGAAATTAGACTCTAAGGTGAAGTCTGTATTATTCCCCATTATCTCTACCTGCTTTTTTTTTTTTTTTTTTGGTTCATTTTCTAATTTCAGAATTCTTTTAGAGCCAGACCATTGGTTCTTTATAGTCGTGTGGGATTTCACCTGTTGTTTTTATAGTTAAATTACTCAGATTTTAGTATACTGGTCGGATAGATATTATTATCCTCTGTTTATAAACACCTACTATTTCTCTAAGACATTTTACAGAGATTTGTATGATTTTTTTTTTCTGTTTCTAAGGTCAGGAAAGCAGTGATTTGTACTTGATGTTACTAATAGTAGCTGGTGGAATGTTTACTGAGCACTTACTCTATCTTAGGCTCTGTTTTATGCAGTTTTCTTTATTTTCTTTAATTTAATTCTGACATAATCTTTGGTTACTTTCATTATCCCCATTTTAGAGAAGAGACAAGAGAGATCTGTGAGTTTAATCTGCCTAGTTATATGTAGTAAATGACAGAACAAGAAATTAAATACTGATAGGCCTGATCTGGAGTTTTATTTTCTTTGTCATTGTAGTTATTACCAGTATAAGATGTTCTCAAAATGAGTTCTGTATGTGTTTTTAATTCATTTGAAATACTGAAGTATCTTTTAAAGTTGAGAAGACTTTGTTTGATGAAATAACTTAATCCTGAGCACATAGTTTCCTGTTTGTGTACACCAAGCACTTGACTTGGAGCATAAAGGAAAATTGAAGGCATTCTCAATATTCAAGGTCCAACGTAGGCTTCATTCATTCCCTTTATTAAAAAAAACGAATTGCTATCCAAGCTTAAGCCCTGAAGCATTAGAAACACACATTATTGAAGGAATGCTTCTTATCTTGTCACACTGAAGGATATTCTGGGTTTGGATGGTAGTAGCATGTTTAAAAGAGAGATAATTAAAATGGCTGGTTTTTCTCCATCACATCCTTCTGTCTTTATTTGGTAACTGATGAAAAACTCAGTGTTCCTTTTTGGCGACCTTGGTTTTTATAATCCAATAAATTTATTCTGCTAAACTAAGAATTTTGGAAATGAGGAATGTGATAGACCTTTGTATGTGAAATTGAAAAGTTTTAATTAATTTATGTTTTGATTTTTGCTACAGCCATAGCTCTGTGAAATGTTTTATTTCTAAAATGGGAGAATGACTGTTATTTATTAAAATGTGTTCATATTTTTTTCTTTTTCTTTTTTGGTACTGGGGAATCTAAGCTAGGATGTTGTACTTGCTAAGCAGGTACTTTGCCACCCTAAAATGCCATCCCTAAAATGTGATCATTTTAAAGTGCACACTTCTAAAAGCTCAGGCTTGGCAATAATCATGTGTTGCAGAAGGTGAACTCATCCCTGAAAACTACCTTGATAGAATCAGCTAAACTTTGTTGGTATGGCTCTAAGCCTGTTTTTCTGTTAGGAACAGCATATACCCAAATTACATTATATTTATGTATTTCTGAATCTAGGAATTAAGGTAAATGGGATCATTAAGGTTTTTTTTCTTAGTAATTATTGATATCTTCAATTATCAGTGTATGTAGATCTGGTTTGTGTTCTCCAACAGCTGTAAGAAAGTCTGTTGTATAGATATTTCATAGTTTTAGTCTGGTCCCTATTAAGAGACTTTTAAGTTACTTGACATTTCTCTCAGTTATAAATAGTACTAGAATGCTGCAGTGAAAATTTTGTACACTCATTCTTGTGTACTTGTCCACTTATTTTCTTAGGCAGTATATTTTAAGTTTTGCTGTGTTAGATAGGCTTTTGGAATGGTTTTTTGGAATGGCTTATTGGGTGTGACTAGGCTACCATTACCTTAGAAATGTCTAAGGTAAGTGGTTCCTCTTTAAGAGGAATAAAATGGCAAAAAATATGCATTAAATGGTACCACTATAGTAAGGTCTTCATAGATACCTTGCACTCCTAATTTAGCTTTTAATTGAGAATTATTTTAGTTCTTTTCCTCCATTGTTTCATTTTACCGTATAAAGATGACTGAATTTTACATATGTAAATATATGTGCTTGTGATTATCATTATTAACATAAATGTAGCAAACCATTGTTTTACTTCACTAGTAAACTATTTAAATAACTTTTTTTGTGGGGATTGGGGTGGGTGTTTGTCTTCCATGTAGTTTTAATCCTGGAGCCTGGAGATCCTCCTTTGTTACAGCAACCACTACAGACATCCAAATCTGGTATTCAACAAATAATTGAGTGCTTTCGATCAGGTATGAATATTTTAGGATATATTTTTTAATCATCACATAGTAGTTAAAAAAATTGAAAAGGACTTAAGCCTTAATTTTTAAAAAAGCATTAGACTGCATACAGTGGTTTTTTTTCTATAATATACTTTTAGTTGTCATATTTTTAAGATGTAGATGAATAAATATTGATTAGGTTTAGAAATTATTTTTCAATACCACACATGATATAGTTTAAAATGAGTTTAGTATAGTATAAAGAAAAATTTGTGGTATATTTGCTTGTAAAGTAAATCTTCCTCTTAAAGATCAATTGTTATCTTTTGTCATGCTTTTTTTAAACTTGCAAAAGGGAGTAAATTATTTCAAGTCTCTATAAGCTTTGGCATAGTAGATCATTTCCTTAGAATGCCTGAGATGTTATTTGTCTTAGATTGGTTATCTTACCATTTCTCATTTTTATTATTTTAAGTAGTTGTACAGTGGGGCTTCAGTTCAACAGTTCAACCAGTTTACAAGTATAGTGCATCTTGATCAATGTCATCCCATCTGTCATTCTCTCCATCTCTTTAACCTTATCATTTGTATTTAGGTTACTTCCTTTCTCCTGCCAAACTCTGGAGTTTCAATCTATTTCACAGAGCATAAGATTTAAACAAAGAGCATATGTCAGCCCTGATAGCTTCTAAACATTTGTTTAGTTTTTATTTCTATTTGATAATTATAATAATTGTATTATAATAACTGGCTGCATATTTGTGCAGTTGGAATCCAATACTTTTGAATATATGTTATGCTATATGTAAGTGATTGAGAACTTTTTAACTCCTGTGTTATCAGTAAGGGCTTAGGTTGCTGTAATGTCTTTGACTTTAGAGGCTATTTAGTCAAATGTGGATAAGCAGATAAGTACAATTGGTGGACACTTAAAAGGATTATTGTATTTTGTCATTATTTGAAAGCTCACCGTGTTAGGAGCAACAGGTTCAAAGGGAAAACATAACTTATGATATATAATTTTTGTTTTATATTTACGAAATTCCCTCCCCCCCTGCCCCCCCCCCCCGTTCCTGCCCTGCCCCGAGGACTTGAACTCAGGCTCCTGAGTCTCTCTGTGCTCAAAGCTAGCTTTCTAGCACTCAAGCCACAGCTCCATTTCCAGCTTTTTCTTAATAGTTTATTGGAGATAAGAATCTCATAGACTTTCCTGCTCGGGTTGGCTTTGAACTTTGATCCTCATATCTCAGCCTCTTGAGTAGCTAGGATTACATGTATGAGCCACAGGTGCCTAGTTTTGATAAGAATTTTGACATGCTTGTTCTTTTTTTTTTTTTTTTGTCGGTCGTGGGGCTTGAACTCTGGGCCTGGGCGCTGTCCCTCAGCTCTTCAGCTCAAGGCGAGCGCTCTACCACTTGAGCTACAGCACCACTTCCGGTTTTCTGGTGGTTTATTGGAGATAGGAGTCTTTCGGTCTCTCCTGCCCGGGCTGGCTTTGAACCGCGATCCTCAGATCTCAGCCTCCTGAGTAGCTAGGATTACAGGCGTGAGCCACCAGCGCCTGGCGACATGCTTGTTCTTAAATCATCGAAAAGGGGAAAACATGTTTGCTTTTCTAGGATTCTAAGAAATTGTTTGTCTGGTAATCTGAATCAAACTATTCTCTGACTCTTCAAGGTCAGTTTCTTAGATGTTTTATCATTAGTCCTCATGGCATTAGCTTTATGCTGTATTTAACTTAATAAGGATATGTGAGTCTTTTTTTATTAATAAGTTTTTTTAATTGTGAAAATATCATACAGAAGGATTACAATTACAGGAGCAAGGTAATGAATACATTTCTTACCAAGCATTGTTGCCTCCTCCTCTGTTTCCCCTTACCTTCCCTGCCTTCCCATCCCCCCTCTGCCAAAGCTGTAAAGTTTGTTTTTCGACATAGCATCTTGTACATTTCATTGCTGCAATGGGTCTACCTGTATCCCTATTTAAACAATTGTTTTTTCCCTTCCCCTCCTCAAATTATACCAACATCAAATACAGTGAAAACAGGGCTTATATCATGGGGGAGAGACATAAATAGCAACCAAAAAAATCACCTTATAAATATGTTAGAAACAATAGCAAGAAAGAAAAACCACTTGAGTGATATGTGAGTCTTAAAGCCTGTTTTACAATATTTTTTTTACTGTTTCTTTATTTTTGGTATATGTCCTTGGTTTAAAGAAATAATCTGTAGTCAAGTCTCCTATACAATTAGAGTAAAATTTTACTTATTAGGGATATAAGTTATGCCAGTATGTATATTTCTGGCATGCAGAAAAATCATTAATTTGTTTCCTTTAGCTACTTCTTTTTTTGATTGTTGTTGTAGGGCTTGAACTTGGGGCCTGGACACTGTTTATGAGCTTTTTCATGTAAGGCTAGCGCTCTACCACTTTAAACCACAGCTCCGCTTCCGGTTTTATGGTGATTAATTGGAGATAATTGGAAATGCGGATAATTTATGGTGGTTAATTGGAATCTCACAGACTTTCCTGCCTGGCTGTCTTTGAACTGTGACCCTCAGATCTCAGCCTCCTGAGTAGCTAGGATTATAGATATGAACCACTAGCCCCCAGCTGCTTTAGCTCTACTTTTAAAATAGAAATAAAGCTCATTGTTTTTTCTCATACCATGGAAATCAGAGTAATAAGCTTCTGTTAAAAATAGGTAATTTGTAAAGGATATGGTCATTTAATACTGCATTGTTATTTGATTAAGAAGTTAAAATTGATTAATTCATAAGTATTTTATCTCATAAAAGTGCCTCTTCAATACAATTACTAATGCAGGTTCTGTGTGCTAATTTTGGAAGGTAAACTTTTAAAGATGAAATTGTTTTCTTATTGCAGTGTGTGGTATGTTTGCCATTTCTTTAATATGTAAGAACAAGGACTGTGCAATGGGTAGTCTTATATGGCACCATTCCAAATCTATTGTTCATCTTTTGCACTATGTTCTTTTTAAAGAATCCCTAAAAAATTATCTTTTTGAGTCATGTTTGTATAGGAAAATTCTGTAAATACTACATTTTAAATTCTCTTGAGTACCCAGCAATTGAAATTTGAAGTGATTTAGAACTATACTAAATGGCTCAGCACCAGTGGCTTACACCTGTAATCCTGTCTATTTAGGAGGTTAAGATATAAGGATTATCTGTGAGGCTCTTCTCCAGCTAACCACCAAAAAACGAATATAGTTGTGGCTCAAGTACTACAGCACCACCCTTGAGTAAAAAAGCTACAGGATAACACGCAGACCCTGAATTCAAGCCCTCAGTATTGGTGCAAAAAACAAAACAAAAACCCTAAATTGTGCTATTGAGAAATTCATTTTGGATTTAAAAATTATTGCATGATTGAGTCTCATAACTAAGAAAATTAATTTGCTCAGGATAGTAGTATCTTTAATTCATCTTTTAAGATCAAAGTGAATATATACAAAGTCTATGGAAGTGTAGTTCTTTCATACAAAGATTTAGTTTAAGGCTGACTAAAACTTGAGAGGATGGGATAGAAGTTTGGAACATGACTAAGGGACTAAGATCTTTTTAACTTGGGACCATCAGTTCTTCCCTACTCTATGCATTCTACTCTTTTTTTTTAATTTAAATTTTACTGTAAAGGTAATGTACAGAGGAGTTACAGTTACATAAGTAAGGTAATGAGTACATTTCTTTTTGAACAGTGTTTCCCCCTCCCAACTCCCCTCTCATCCATGTTATAAAGTTCATTTCCAGTATACTGTCTAGTGAGTATCAGTGTTGAATCAATTCATTCTTTGTCCCACCATTTTTGTGATTCCCCTTCTCTTCCCCAAATCAGATAAACTTATATACAAGACAAAGGGTACAGGAATAAAAAACACTGATAACAGGAAATAAACCAAAGGGGGGGGAGAAAGAAATAACTTTGAAGAGTACAGTAAAAAAAAAAAAAATCTTGTTTCCGATTTCCACCTCACTGCAGTTAGAATGGCCATTATCAAATAATAACATGCTGGCAGGGATGTGGCCAAAAGGGAACGCTATTACCCTATTGGTGGGAATGTAAATTTATTCAATCACTCTGGAAAGCAATATAAAGAATTCCTCAACAGACTAAACATAGAGCTTCCCTATGACCCAGCAATCCCACTTCTGGGCATTTGCTCAAATGATCACAAATCAGTCTGCACTAATGCCACTAACACACCACTGCAGCATTATTTGCTATAGGTAAGATATGGATTCAATACAGATGCCCCTCAGTGGACGAATGGATCAAGAAAATGTGGTGTATATACACAATGGAATTTTATGTTTCCATCAGCAAGAATGACATTGCCTCATTTGTAAGGAAATGGAAAGACTTGTAATAAATTATACTAAGTGAAGTAAGCCATACCCAAAGAAACAGGTTGCATGGTTTCCCTCATTTGTAATAACTAGAATATGTCTGTAAATCTACAAGTTAGTTCAATTGATAGTAAAGACAAAAAAAATTACACTTGGACATGGCTAATTAAACAGCACTTTTTAAGCATTGCACAGTGAGAACAAAGGGAGATATTCTTAGGGGAGAATCATAATGGCCCAATAGCTATGTACATATGACCATATAAAACGATGTTTATTGAAATGAACTCTACTCTTGCTACACACACTCTCAGTGACCAATAAATAACTCATCTCTTTCAACTATATTACATATATTGCCTTTTTTCCTTTTTTTTTTTCTTTTCGGTACTGGGGTTTGAACTCGGGCCTTTCCCTTGCTAGACAAGTGCTCTATCTCTTGAGCCATGTCTCTATCCCTGCATATTGCTTTTAAGAACCTTCCTGTTAGTGCTATAAATCTTTGATAGATATTTGAAGATAGGAATCTGAGGTTCATGCTGTTGCTCTTGTCAGCCTACAGATGCTAAGACAGGTTGGACAATAGTAATATGTTAAGGTACCTATCCAACTCAGACATTGTTTTCAGCTACTATATTGGTCTTTATTTGAG